ATTTACATGACCTATAAAAGAATTCTAATCCTAATAAAACAGGTTCACAATGGAGAATAGAATAACAACATAACAGACCCATGTGGCACATGTTTGTCTCTACAGAAGACGCGCTGACTCCTTACCTGCAGTGGCACACTTACACACCAAGTCTTCAAACAAAAAACAGGACTCCACTAATTAAACTTTGTGTGCAATTTACATTGTTAAAGATATTAACAGGTGAGGATGGTGGCAGCACTTGACAGAAGCATTCAGTCAGAATATAAAATCTGAAAAAGTTATGAAGAGCTTGACAGAAGACATTACAGAACACAGTATCAGTCAGTACTGTTTTTTTATCACACTGCAGCCAGTGCTGGTCACATCTCTAAAAGCATACAGCAGAATTATAACCATACAGATATAGAAAGACTAGATACAAAGTAATGCTCTTATGGAGAGGAACTGAAGCAGAGTGCCTGTTTATATTGCAGAGGAGGGGGGAAATATACAGAATAAAAATTGTCACTGTGATAAAAGGAGCACATTATCTTGTAACGGAAGAACTTTGAGGATCACCAACAAAAATGGAGGACTAAGCTCAAAATGAATGAAATGTTTTTCGTGTAAAATAGCCAGCCTGGGGCACTAACTGGCATAGGACTTGCCAAGAGACATTGAAGATGCAAACAGCAGTAATTAGATAAGGAGCATCCAGTTTTCTCAAACTTGTAAACCATTTGGCAAAGCCTGTATGTGTCAAATGCCCACAAGACACACACCAGCATTTACTTCAGAGGATGGTGGAGAGTAAAAGTACCAGACAGTCCAGAGCAAAGTCATGACAGCAGATGTTTCTCAGGTGCCCTGTCTCAGGGCACACTGCCTTTGTTCCCTAGCTGGTCTGTGCACATCCCAGGGAGATGTAGGCATAGATCTAGATCTGTGCTGTTCTTAGCAGTCCACACTGGTTCACTTCCTTACTAAGATATGTCTGGACTACCAAGCACAAAACTGGCACCAGACTTTCATTCATACAAAAATGCTAAGTATTAAGAGAACAAGCAGAGAGCCTGGCATGGCCTTTACTTCCTTGCCCCAAGCCAGCCTTGATCTGCCAAAACCCTTCTTAACAGATATTTACCCAAGTTCTTAAACCCTCCACCGGTAGAAGGTCTACAAGCAGTATATCACATTTAAATTTCCAATGGTTAACCAGCTTGTTTTTGTGGAAGGTATAAGGCTCCTAGTAAGGACCAATGGAAATCAATTAGTGCTCAGTAAAATATGGGTGTCATATGATCCAAAAGCTTCTTTTAGCCATAAGATCCATTAAGGTGTAAACAACCACGATCAATGCGGATCAACACCTGGCTTCATGGCTGGTGTTGACAGCTGGCTTCTCCAGCCATGGGATGTTCTTCGATGAATACAGATTACTAAGGAGAGAGGATTCACCATCAGCCAGTTCCCTAAAGACCCTGGGACATGTTTCATCAGGTCCCATGGACTTCTGTATATACATGTTCCTCAAATGGTCTAGGTCCTGATCTGCTCCCACAGTGGGCAGGGCTCCATTCCACCTGTCCTTACCATGAAATTCAGGGACTCCAGAGATTTGGAGGAACAATTACAAGTGAAAACTGAGAGGAAAAAAGTTGTTGAGTACCTCAGCCTTTTCCATTTTGGTCATCACCAATTCTCCATCTCATTTATTGGGGGAACAGATCCTGGCCATGAGGGCTGACATCCCAGAAACAGCCTGTGTCCTGGGCTAATCCCACAGCATCGACAGCATGTATGGGGGGGGATTATTCCTGTTTCTACTCGTCAGACCTCACCTGTGGTCCACAGTACAAGATGAACATGGATCTGTTGGAGCAATCCCAGAGAAGGCCAGAGAGATGCTCTGAGGGCTGAAGCCCCTCTGCTCTGGAGATGGGCTGAGAGAGACAAGGCTATTCAACCGAGAGAAGCAAAGGCTCCAGGGAGATTTTCTTGCAGCCTTCCAGTATTTAAAAGGGGCTTGTAAGAAAGACAGAGAGAGACCTTTTAACAAGGCCTGTAAGACAGGACAAGGGAGAACACTTTTAAACTGCTGTTTTAAAGAGGGCAGTTTTAGATTAGACCTAAGGAAGACATTTTTTACAACGAGTGAGGTGAAACGCTAGAACACGACTAGGTGATCTGTGAAGGTCCCTTCCAACCCATACCATTCTATCCCTCTGTGACCCACAGTGAATGAGCTTTTTACTTTCTCCTGCAACTGCTAAGATTGGCCCCTGTCCACACAGAGTGATCAGCCTGCCAGCCCATTCAGTTACTATGTGGTTAGCCCTATGATCTCAAGGAACAAACACGAATAAAACCCCTCAAGTAACCTTCCACTATGTCCTCTATCATGAAAATGGAAAGCTTAAAAATCTGCAAGTAACATTTTAAAATCATTCCTTGCTGGTCTCATAGCTGCAAACACAGCTCTTCTGTTCCATGTAGACACCACCTTTTAACTGTAAATTCTGCTGTTACCATGAATCATAGTATTTGTCAGGGGAAAATGACTGGCTTAAATCTTTAAAATTAATATTTATAAATTTTTGATATCATGCTTTGTTGGGCCTCACAATTTCCCCAAGTGAAGTCAAATTTCTTTCACATCCTAGACTCATAAAATGTTAAGGAGTTGGAGTGGACTTAAAGGTCATCTAGTTCCAAGCCCCTCTGTCCTGGGCAGGGACACCTCCCACTAGACAAGGTCACTCAAGGCCTTATCCAACTCGGCTCTGAGCACTGCCAGGGTCAAGGCATCCACAACCTTCCTGGGCAGCATGTGCCAGTTTCTAACTATTTTCACAGTAAAAATTTCTTCCTAATATCTAACCTAAATTTCTCCTCTTTCAATTTGTACCCATTACTCATTTTCCTGTTACTGCAGCTGCTAACAAAGAATCCCTCTCCAGCTCCTTTGCAGCCCCTTCAGACACTTCCACATAATCTTCTCTTCTCCAGACTGAACAGTCCCAACTTTCTCAGCCTGTCTCCATAGGGGAGGTGCTCATCAAAAGCATACCTGCAAATCAAAGGCCACATGCTGAAAAGTTAACTTTACATGATTTCCCACTTCAATGCAACAGACGTGCCTGTAAATATAAAAATCTGTTACTTGTAAATTGTGTTTTCTTCTCTGCAGTTTAGGATCTCAAAAGGAGCTGAACTACCTTTAAACAAGTAATTTTAAGAAATTTATTCACAGGCAATGTGTAAGTGTGCCATATTTGAAGGTAAAAAATACAATGTTGAATAGAATCTTGCAGCAGGCAAATTCTTCAGTCTAGCTAAAGCCTTCAGTCTAGCTAAAGCTAGTTCTGTTCAGGGAGAAATGCTTCTACCCCTTGCTTTGGGCACTGATCAGAGACAGACAGAGACACCACCTCCATACCAGTACAGAAAACAGAGAAGGCTACAGCACTGTAAGAGGCCAGAAAGAAAAGGATAGGAAGTTTGTCTCTCAAACTCTGAAACCTGTGAATGCAGAGTTTTTGGGTTTTTTTTTAATGGAAGGAAAATATTTTTCCATTTTTTCCAAAAACTAAAACAATTTCCATAAAATTCATGAGGTCCTTGTCAAGCACAGAGATGCCAGTGCTCTCAAATACATCCAGGTACAGAAATGACAGTGTCATTGTCATTTCCCCATCTACTCAGTGAATATTGGAAACAACTGACAAGGGCATTTCAGGCTGTCAATTCACACCTCACTTGACAAACACTGAGGAAATCAAACACACCTCACTTGTTCCTCACTCTGAGGAACATTCCCAGAAGAAGACCTGTTAGCCAGTGTCTGCATTATGAAAACACTATGGAGAGCACAGTGCAACCTTGTGAACTAGATGAAAAGGCACATAAACTGTAGATACCTGCCTGGTTCCATGTACCCAGGACATTTCTATATAAATATAAAACCTGGATAACCCCCCTAGTATAACACCCAAACTCTTAATCCTTCACAGTTTAAATTAATAACCATTCAATTCCTCCAGCTGTATCTTCCCAGAAAATATAAGCTCCTGGAATGCTGGTCAATTCAAGGAGAGACCACCAAATTCCAGGTGTTAGTCCAAGCACTCTGCTTGGAAACCACTGCATTGGGCAAGGAGACGGCGCTGAGTGATAAAGAGAATGGAATGTTGACATTGACATCTTCATCAAAAAACTGAAGGAGTTTTCATACATAAGCCCTTCCAATTCCAGTGAGAATTGTTATAACCTAGGCTGTTTATTTCCAAAGCAAACAGTATTCATTTTTTCTACCACACAATTTACACTACCAGTGAGGTGACCTGTGTAGGCTGTGAAAGGTGAGAAGTCACCAATCCAGGTGTGGCAAAAACAAAAGTCCCCTACAGGCATGCTGTGTACTGGCTCGGAAAACAGACAAGTAGCCACAGGTGGATATTCACAGCAGAAGCAACAAGAAGAATGTAACTAATGGTAGAAAATGAGGATGTGAGTGACAGATTTGGGCACCTTATCATGGAGATGCCCAATGCCCATCCAGCAACAGCAAGTACTGAAGAAGTCTTCCTAGCTGGGAAGAGCTAATTTAAACCTGCACTGAGAAGCATGAAACCCCACAGATCAATAACCACCTGACAAGAACTAATCATGTTTACTTGTGGCAAATGGAATAATGAATTACCACAAAGAATACCTGCTACTACTACTACTTCTACGACTCCTCTTAGCAACTGCATCCTCCAGTGTCACTTCCTCTGAACCAGTCCACTCTGCCAGACCAGCATCCTCCTGCCAACACTAGCACACCCTACCACAGAAGTAACTGGCTATTCAAATGACCCGTTTATGTCAGCAGCAGCAAGCTGGCGTCTTAGGATTTAGTTCACAACATAGTATTTCCCACATGCCCAAAGGTAAACATTTTCCATCCCCAGTCCAAAGCACAGACACATCCTTCCTGACTAAAACGGGTCACTTTTCAAAGAGCTAAAACCTACCTGTATCAGACAAGACAGCTGAACACCTGGAGTCACATCTGTGTAGACCAAGAGGAAGCAAGAAACTTATCCTGTGGATGGAGCAGGAGACCAGCTATTATGTCATGATGAATTAGCAGGAGATGTTCTCAGTGACCTTAAACAGGAACAGGTCTAAGACAGCAGGCTGAGGATACATTTGGATCCAGCTCTGAAAAGAGAAAGTACATACCGGGTGAGAGCGAAATAACATACAATAAAAATAACATTTCCTAGAACAGCATGAACCCACGTGACACTTCATAAGCAACACAACTTGTGGAAAAAGAGAAGGGGAGAAGAAAGGGAAGATGAGACTGACATAGCAGTTTGGGACTTCTCTGGAGACTGTGCACATAGGTGCATGACCAGGCTGCCAGGACAGCAGTTTTGCCCAGGCACTGGCCCATCCATGTAGGCTCTTCAGTTTCCCCACAGGACCAGGCTTGTATTAGTGGAGTTTGGAAAGAACACAGAGGTTACTGCTTCCCATAACCTGTCAACCTATTGATCAGGCTCTGATAAGAACAACAGGGTGGGTAGGATTGGAGTAGACCCCTGGAATTTGCCTGTCCCAAGAAGCAAGGATATCATCTCACACAGTTGTTCTCAACCTTGGGAAAGCAGGCCAGTTTAGGAACAGTAACCAAGTCATCTTGTTTTCATCCTTAAAAAAATCAATTCCTTAAAGAACTCAAAATGAACTCCTACCAGAACACTCCAGCATTTTATCAGGCACCGTTAGCTGCCTGAGTAGGTTAAGCAGAGTGTGGCAGACTGGAATAATTAATGATCCTACAGATTTAGGGCACAACCAGGCAGCTTCAGTGTCTGCATGCTATGATAGCTCCCAAAGAAGACGAAGCAGGCTAAGAAGGAAAAGGAACCTTCCTCTCCACGGGAGAGCTGAGGCGGTTGCACCTGCACATACAAAGCCCTGCTGCTCCTGACAGCTCTGTACTGTAGCTGATGAAGAAAAGCAGCATTACAGCAGAACAGGTGTGAGCACCAGCGCACACAGCATTCTCAAGCATAAGCTCACATCTAGACATTCAAATAGAAACAACTGTTCAGAAAATGGAAAGGCAAGAAAGGGAAGTATGAGCATTGCAGTGCCAGCCTGGGCAGTGCCAGGCAGCATGAGCAGAGTGGATAACTCCACCAGGAACAGGACTAAGGCTCTGTATCTAGTGGGGTCAAAAAAAGGGAAGAACAAGGGGCAAAAAGAATTCTGCTGAAACAGAGCAGTAGTCAAGGAAGGACAGAGCTCGGGAACCCAGGGGCTGAGGCAAACACTGCAGTGGAGGCAGCACAAGTGAGAAGGGCGACTGCATGAGGTACAGAAAGGAATATTACTGCAACATGGAGGAAAAGTAGGAGAGCAAAGGCTGAGTGTCCTCACCCTGCCTTAGGGGCAAGGCCGAGCTGCAAGTTCCTCCTCACAGAGAGATCAGGGAATTTCTCGAGGGAAGACGAGCTCAGCTTGTTTGGTTGGTGGTGTCCCCATGGAAAATAGCAGATTGTTGATTGCTGACAACACCAAGGAACTGGTTATTTCCAGAAGCTGCAGGACTTCCTTGAATGGGTGGTAGTGTGAAGTTGGTCTCTCCAAGAAGGGCAGTGCTGACAGCACCAGGCAAGGATAATGCACACTCTCCCAGATCATGCTAACTGGTGAATGACATTGCTTGCTCCTCAGTCCCCCATTTCAATTCTACTTCAGTTTCTCCCAGCAGCAACTTGCACACAGGGATCCTCCACAGGCCACGGTGATGGAGGGGGCAGAGAAGAGTTCAGGCTTCAGGGAACAGGAGGGAGGAAAAGAGCAGCAATCTCCAGCAGCAAACTCCTGGTGCCAAAGTGAGATGGTTTGCCTGTGTGGGAAGTCAGGTGATATTCCAGAAGGCCACGCAGAGCATCAGTCTCTCACAGACACAGATCTGTTAGTCCTGAGAGAGTATCTTGGACCATGCATCTCCCTCTGAAGACAGAACTGAGAGGCATCTTAGAGGCAGCAAGTCAACTACTCTCTCTCAAAAGCTGCCATCTCCTGTGTGGAGGCTGGTGGTTCCTGGAGCAGCAGAGACAGCAGTCAGCTAGATGCAGGGCAGCGCTGAGGGGTCTCCAGGGACAGGGTGTTAAGAAGAGGACCCTCCTCTCCAGAGGATGCATGCATCATGTCAGGGCAGGATGGGCAAACCCAGAAGAGTGATGGTGTCTCCCTCGGTAAAGTCAGTCCCTGCTAAAGGAGACCCTCCCGAGGGGGCCTGCAGCCCACATTCGGGAGCGGTAGATGAGCACTGGGCTCCCCCTTTTTGCCTGCCCCTCCGAGCGAGCCGAGTTCCTGCGAGGCAGCAGAGCCGCCGGGGCTCGGCGGAGGAGCGGGGCCCGCGCCGGGACACCCGGCGGGGCCAGGAGGGCTCTGCACCGCCTAAAGCCGAGTCCGCGGGGCAGCTCAGAGAGCGTGGCGCGGCAGCCGCCAGGCTGCTCCAGCCGCGGCTCCACGAGCGAGCGGCAGCGGAGGAAGGAGGCACCGCCGGGCGGGACCGGCGGCGCAGGGGTCCGCCCGGACTCCACCAGGCTCCCCTCCGGCGAGCCCTGCGGGCAGCGCCCGGGCGGGAGCAGCAGCGGCGCTGCCCGGCGTCCGTGCCCGGCTCCGGGTACCTGGCAGGTACCTGGGCGTCTGGCAGATGCCCGGGCCGGGGCGGGGGGGCCGCGCAGCGCTCACCGTCCCGTCCATGCTCCGCTCCCGCCGCGGCCGTCCGCGCGCGGAGCGCCTGCGCGGCGCTGCGGAAAGCGGCCAGGGACCGTCTGTAAAGTGCATCTCGCCCGCCGCGCCGGGGGAGAGGGTCCCGCACCGGGAGCCCGGCCCCGGCCGCGCTGCTGCGGCGGGAGGGCGGTGCAGCTGCGGCCCCTGCCCCGCTCCCAGCCTCGCGGGGGCGGCGCGGCACGGAGCTCCTCCCGGGGACAGGTGGGTGCGGCGCCCACGCCCTCCCAGCCCAAGGGGCCGCTTCGGCTCCGCCGCTTCGACGGAGCTCGAGAGAGAGAGACGGACTGGCTTTAGGTCCGCCGCCGCCGCCAGGGTCCCCAGCCCCGCCGCCCCTGCTTCCGCCACTACAGCCACCCCCTTCTCTCCCCACCGGCGCCCCGCACCACCGCCGGAGCCCCCTGACTACCGCGGCCCCCAGCCCCGCGCCCCGCACTCACCGCCGCCCCCTGCCGCCCCCGCCGCCGCGGCCCCGGCGCGCTCGCAGCGCTCCCGGCCGCCGCCGCAGCCTCCGCGCGCTCCCCAGCGCCGCCTGCCGGCCCCGCGCGGCATCGCCCCCGGGCCGCGGTGCCCGACGCAGAGCCCCCGCCCCGCCCGGTACCGAGCGGGGCTCGCACCCACAGCGGCCGGGCGGGGCTCACCGGGAGGCAATGAGAATTCCAGTGGCGACGGGGACGGTAGTAGCAGGATGAGAAAGCAAAGAGGCCCGGGGAGCTCTGAGGCACGTACAAGCCTTCAAACTGGGAACCTGCCCACAGCTGCGATCCACTCTCCGCGCGCTTTGCCTGGTGTTAAGCAGCTGGTGACTCCTGGGAAGGTGAAGATGAGCGTACTGGGCCTGGCGGGCTACAGGTCTGTGGTGCGGTGTCAGTTGTAATAAGAAAAGGAAAATTGCTTCTTAAACACCAAGAGGGAGATCGCTGTGACGTGCACTTTGACAGAGCAATTAGAAGGAACCCTCAGTGTGACCCGCCAAAGCCCTGCAGTCCATGGGGATGAGGGAAGTTCGGACAGAATGAGCACTGACAATGAATACTTTGGAGTAATGCTCCAAGGAGCTGTGACGAAGCAGTGAAAGGACTGAGCTCCACCTGCAAAGAGCCAAGCAAACCTGACAGCTTCACACGCTCAAAATCAGTACAAGTCTAAAAGATGAAGTAAACGAAGTAAAATATTGTAAAGATCACAAGGTGGATTTAAGTCTTAGTGGGTGTTTTTAAGGAGGGGACTGAGCACATGCTTTTGGCTTTTTCACTACATTTTCTGTGTCACATTTTCAAGCTTATTTCCTACAGTTATTTGTACCAGGAAAACATTGTTGCAAATGGAAAATGAGCTTCTGTGGTACCTGTCACCAGAAAATTACCCCCTTCGAGAACCCACAGTTCAGCATGCATGCTGAGCAGAAAAGGTAATTGCTTAGCACATCCAGGAAAGAGTTCCTAATGGGAGAGGGTGACTGCCTTGGCTGAAGGACAGGTCTAGGGAGTGAGTCCTGGGACAGTGGGGCATGAAAGCATCTGGTATAGTGGGGTTCAGGCCACAACTTCTGGCTTGAGACCAAGCTGGCAGCTGGACCTCCACATGCTCTGCAGTGCTGTCCAGAATATTTCACAATGGATGTGTGACAAGGCAATGCTCCAGGCCAAATAGAAGACAGCAAGCTGCTATGAAAAGAACTCTTTGTACTGGAGTTGAGATGGAGGAGTATGCTGAGCTGTAGCTGGGGAAACATGCACCTGTTAATGAGAGCATCCTGTCCTCTCTCTGCTCATCTGACCAACAGCAACTCCAGAACTTCAGTGAAACAGTTTAGACCATCTGCTAGACCTGGGTTGCACTCTCCAGTGTGCTGGGAACCCCTTGGGGTTGTGCAGCTTGTGAACTGTGACTGAGTGGAGGAGCTGCCCGGACAGACCTGAACTGCTGGTCAGATGCACAGCACCCAGGGAGCAGAGGGGAGGCCACCCTGGCAGATCCCCCAAGGGAGATGGGCTACTCGTCCAGGTCACATGGCAGAGGCACATCATTTATCTTCTGGTCTTGGAGAAGACTGATGGACACTATGATTAGATACAATAGCCGAGTTCACAGCATCTGGGTTTGGGTTTTTTTTGGGTGTTTTTTTGTTTGTTTGGTTTTTTGTTGTTTTTAAGTATACTTGTTAATTTGGGATAGAGTAGCAGCTCTGTCACAGATGAAAAAGTGGAGAGTCTATTTTTACCTGTTTCTTGAAGTTAAAAATGCAGCTGGGACCAAAGCTTCTTGTGTTTGTAACATATACTACACATCCTTCTCTAGGATCAACAGATTATTCCAACAGGATAAACATGCAATGGATGAAATTACCTTCACAACTGAAGACAAGGAAGAAAAATATCCATTGCTGTGGACACAAAGAACATGAAGTATACACAAAAGTAAACACACCCAGTGCATGTTGGGGAAAGCAGGGACATCACAGAAGGGTGCACATTTCTTCAGGGCTATAAGATCAAACCTGACAATCATGGTAATTTGTCTTTCTGGCCAGTACATGACCCCACTGTAGTACACAGACTCACTATCATGATCCTCACATAGTTCGTAATTTCTGGCTGAAATAAAGGGCATCCTTGAAAAAGAGCTAGTCTTTTTTAGCACAAGAGACAAAAATGGTGGCAAAGAGTCAAATCATAAGCACACCTGACTGATTTACCCTCTTCCCGACAGTGGCCAACACTGTCTGCCTATTAAAAAATCACTAAATAGGGTAGACCAAGAGTGTTCCTTCCCTGACAGCTCTCCTAACGCTTACAGATTTGTAATTCAGAGACCTGCTGTACCAGAGGTTTTGGCTTTGTGTTTTAACAACCGTTGATAGATTGCTCTTTTGCAAATTTCATCCACTGTACAATGACAGTCATGAAATTTAAGGCCATGAAGGACTTACTCTACCCACTTATATTTGACAAGTAATTTCACACTTGCCTCCAATGATCTCTGTTACACAAACCAAGTAAATTGTAGCACACAGGAAAAGTTACCACTTTAATTCCACTAGCTACTCACTTTCAGCACTGAAAGCATGTGCCTGTTTTTCTTTGGAATTAAATCTGCTGCAGTCATGCCTTACCCCTGGACAACTAAAAACTGCTTTAGTATCCAGTGGTTTCACTTTGTACATGTAGTCACAACCTTCTAAGAGTTCATAGAATCATAGGAAGGTTTGGGTTGGGAGGGACTTTTAAAGGCTGTCTAGTCCCACCCTGCCATGGACAGGGACATTTCCAACTCATAATAAGGTCACTGCATGTCCCGTTCAACCTGGCCTCGGAGACCTCCATGGATGAGGTTCTTTGGGCAACCTGTGCCAGTGCTTTCCAGCCTCATTTTAAAACTGGTCTCTCATCTAGTCTGCATCTACCCTCTTTTAGTTTAAAACTGTTAAACCCAGTTTCAAGTCACTACCGCTTGTCTTACAAGAGTTCTGCATCTAACACTGTAAAATACTTCTTACAATCTTCAGGTAAGTTTTGTGAACCTCAAACGTTCTTCTTTTCTCTGTTCCCTAGAAGCCTTAAAATAGGCTGTGTGCTATGCCACCAGGACCCTTCTTGCTGTTTCACATCAACAGCAATTGATTTCTGTTTCCCCCAGAGTGTCTACCTGTAAAGATCTGTTATATCATGTCTTAAATCTATACTTTACAGGGCTGGGACAGAGCCTGGATATTAGTGTCTGAAAGAGTGGGTCCAGGAAAAATGAAGCTGCTTGCACTTTAATACAGCCAATTTCTTTAAAGACTTACCTTTTTTTAACATGCAGTCTTCTCTGGAGGAGTGATACACCATCTTCCCCAAGCACTTAAGTTTGCATTTGACTGTTCTAAGACAAAAGTCTGTTTGAAGGGCCTTACTCTTCCTCACTATTATCCTCTCTTCATGACTTTTTGGCATATTTTTACATATCTGCTGATTTTATTTGTAGAGATCTTATATTTGCTTCCAAATAACCAATTAAGTGTCAAACAACACTGGCTGGAGAACTCTCCCTCCAATAAAAACCAGGATCCCCAGCTTATGGATTGGGGAGTTTGCTGGCAGTATTTCCTGCCTTTCCTTTCCCACAGAGCTGGATTGTAAAAAATAGAATAATCATCTTCCAGCTTCCCTCAGCTTTCTCCCAAGATACAAGATTGCTCTTAAGAATTTTAAGTTCTGTGTAGTGTTGCATCATCATCTGGCATACCCTGAATACAGGCAGGGACTTGCCAACAAGAAGTTGGCAACAACATTCCTGGTTGTTGGGTTACATCCATCAAATCTCACTACCCTGTTTCCTTTCTTCTCTAATGAGGACTCACTAATGATTCTTGCTTGCCCTATGTCATTTCAAACCCTTTCCTTTAGTAGCTTGTTTTACATCTCAGACATCCCCACCTGTCACATCCCCTACAGCTCTCAGTCAGCAATTCCTGACAACCAATTGCTGCATCTCTCCCAGGTTAATGCTCAGCTTGGTGGCATGACACCCCTGTGTCCTTGCGCAGAAAATCTGCTGCTTGCTTAGTTTCTTACAGCACCAGCATCCACTGCCAGTGCTTTCAGATGTGTTATGTAGAACAATGATCCAAGGAATTCTCCTTGG